CGCTATTTGATATCTTGTAAAAAAGCAAAAAACGGTTTTTGCATCAAAATAATTTCAAAAATTATGGTTTAGTTTTGTTATTCAAGCTTATATTTAGGCCGTTTCCTAGCTATTCACTATTGCTACGGATGGAAAGGATTGACATGGATTAAAAGTTTTTAAAAAGTGGGCCACCTTTTTTTTGCTATACCTGCAGAAACCAACAAAAAATGCTGGATCATTATACATTTCTAGGAATCTGCCCACCTACCCCTTCCCTAAGCCAACATTTTGCCCTAAGTGAGAAGTAAGTGTTAATGTTGGCTTAGGGGAGGGGTTGGTGGGCAGATGGTTTGTACTCGCAGAGGAAATTTGATTGATATCTTATTCATATCTCTATAAAAGCACTTTGTGTGTAGTTAAAGGCACAAAGTAATGACTTCAGCACAGAATTGACCTAAAAAAGCGATATCCTCGTGACACGGCCCCTTTAAAACTGAACTTACTTTTATCGGAGGATCAAGGCATTGGAAATGATAACAAAGCTTACACTGGTCGCATCTGTAAAAAGTAGTAAAGAATAAATAAGTGAGTAAATAAATAAATAAACAATGTCATCAGGCCTGGCACTCATCAGGCCACTTATGTCTGCAGAAGCCGCCATATTTGATTTTAAAAGCAGAGGAAATTGGGAGGGGGGAGGGGGAGGGTGGTGTAGAAAATGTGACCATTTAAGTTGACATAAGCTTAAAAATATTACCACAACAACGAAATATAAAAGCAAACAAACAAAGAAGAGAGAATTTCGGGGTGGGGGAAAGGTCTGCGGGGACTTAAAAAAACGTTGAAATCTTCACCATCTTCACCAAGACCATAATGCACCATAACCCCTCGGTGACAATGGTAAACTTCCCAGCATACCTCACAAGATTAGAATTGGTGCCGCTCTGTTTGCAAACACAACACTCAGTGCGAGAGTCTTCAGGCTTTTTCTTCTTTTCAGGTGGTTCTATGCTTCTTCTCCCAGGGCGCCTTCCTCTTTTCGCTGCAGGCGCAGAGCTTTCTTCCAATTTTGGCTTCTGTGAAGGATAAATCACAGATCTTGGGTTGGATGTGATTAACGGCCACAAATACATGCAAAATTTTTCTCAGAAACCTGTTTAAGATGAACACGTAGTTGCATCAAACATTGTACTTCTAAAGGGACAGAAGTGTATAGGGGTAGATATGGCTGAGTCCGCGCGCGGGAAAGATGAAGCGAATCCTGTCTTCTGATTGGCTATCCCAGCCATGGATGCCACAGCCAGAGGTTTCTGAAATTCACTGACTTTTCCCTGACAACTGCAAATTTCCCTGACCAAATGAATTAACAAATTCAGAAATTAGTCTTTGATGGACTCAACCGTCCCCCTCCCCCACTCATCACAGCAATCCTCGCCGCGACTGATTTATGCTTTCAGCAAGTCACGTGGAGTGTCCATGAATTGATAAAAAAAAATGTGTACTCTTAAAATTTCGCTTAATCTTGACTTCTTTCAAAGACTTAAATTTTCCCTTACTCAAAGTGAAATTCTCTGACTCTTGCCTGACCTTGAAGAATAATTTTCCCTAACCATTTCCTGACCGATAATAACCATGCGAGAGGGAAAGATGAGCCCCTCCTGCACGCTCGGTGTTGGTCCAGCAATAATAAGGTCCCTTTTTAGCCATGTAATCGTCTCGTTTTGACCAAGCTTGTTCCATGAAGATGGCTGGGTATTCATCGTTCTTTTTCGCGTTTTTATTGGCCAATATCTAGCCATCTTGACCACACCCATGGACAATAACGCATTTTTCCTTCCGGAATAATGAGTGGTTTCACGACAAAAAATATGCAGGGGTCGGCAATGCCCCAACTCCTTAGAACAATAAAAGCTGTAGGATATGGGGAGTAGTGACAATAGAGGTCCTGAAGAGGCGCAGGGCTACATGAACCAGAGAGCCCTCACTTACTTTGCTGTCCGATGTAGTGGTTTCACCTTCTCCTTCTCCACCTTCTGTTGCGGGCGTTTTGCGCTTGAATGACTTTTTCAGCTTGCGCTTTTTTGACTGAAAGGAAACGCAAAACGGATTAAAAGTTCCGAAGGTATACTGCTATGAAACTCGCCAAGAGTAGAAACGGAATTTCACGGAAGAGAGAACATCAGTACGTGTCCTCCTTACATGATATGTTAGGGACCTTACGATAACGGAGACGTCCGTGAAGACGGCCCTAAAAAATAGACCACACATCCTTTCTACCATTTTCGCGACTATCCCAAGTCACCCGAGTTACTCAAAAGAAGGGAATTTAGGTTGGAACTGAAGAGAGGGGACTGCGCCCGAGATCAGACAGAGATAGTACAATTTACCGCCTTGCACAACTTAATAACCAATTCCACAGGAAAGAACTGCCGAGTAGCTTCCACTCAAATGGTCACGTGGCTCCACCTACAAGCTCCAAAGTCAGAATTGCATTTAATGTCTCCAGCGGTTAACTGCGATTGTGCCAGGCTTGAGTCAGTAGAAAGATAAAAGTAGTTTACAACCTGTATTCCCGATGCAACCTAACTTACCTCTCCCTTGTCAGGAGTGAATTTAGTAGGTTCTTTGATGACCCGTCTTTGGCGGCCTTGAGAAATGGGTGTGGTGTCCTCAGTATCGACTTCCATTTCATCATCATCATCGCTGGGGTCACACTCTGAACACTGCCTGTAATAACAAACAAATACGCTAAGGCTTGAAGAATTATGCACCGTGAAACAGTGCTGTTCCCTCGGATGAAGTAGACGTTTATGGAGATCTCACAGCCAAATTCGTTGTATCGGGCTGCGTGTTTTGCAAACTTCGAAGGAATTTTGAGTTTTTCTGTTCCGTCAATGATCTTAGCGGACCTCTTAGAGGAAACAAATGTTTACTTATGATTGGTGCATTTCGATCCACTTTGTTTGTTTATGTCTTTCAAGGTTCGCTGCTTGTGATCGCCCTGTTTCGGGCAATAGTCGACTAGTTTTCTTCAAATATTTTTCTGATCTTTCTTATTCTTGTCTCTTGAAAGAATAAAGCAATGTCTGCCTCCTGACTTCTACAAAAATACCACTCATCATCCGATTTCCTTCGCTATTCTTGAGCAGTTTAGAGTCATTCTCAGTTTTGTTTTTGCGGGCCAAGTTGGGCGAGAGCGTTGCATTGTGATTAACATTAACTCCGATACAACGAATTTGGCTATAAGATACAGTTTCCGTGCACGTGCACGGGTAAATAAAGAGCTTAAGCAACAAAGACGGCGAAGACTACGAAAACGTTACTTAAAAAGGGAAGTCGCGCTACTGCAACCTTTATAGCGTTATACCATATTGTTCAATTCGTTAAATGTTGGCAACTTTTTCTGAAGTTGAATTCCAAAAGACTGTATCGAAGTTCAAGAAAAAAAAGGAAGTCGTTGTCTTGTGTTGACGTCCTCAACAAAACATGAACTTAAGTTAAGTCGTGCACTGACGGGAAAGATATGTACAAAAAAGAGTGATGCACGTTGTTGTTTTGCGAATCCAAACCTAATGCTTTTTTTGTCGTTCTCCTTGCCGTCGCCGCCGTCGTTGCTTGAGCTAACTATTTAGTAAACTGCAACCTACCAAGTCACTGTTATTCGCCTCCCTCTTCATTTTATCTTCGAATTTCTTTTTTACTTTTGCCTTATTTAATTTACTTTATAACAAAATACCAGCAAAAAGAACTGAAATGTTAATTGGTGATTCTTAGTCTCAACTTATGTCTGTGCAGCTCTATGTCGAAAAAAATTATTACTCCACTTTTAGGCTCTAGAGTGGCAAAGTCTCTTGTTTAGTAACAAAAACAACGGCAGACTGTCAAATTAAGAATTAAGGACTGAACAGGTTCTATTAGTTTTCAGCTGCTATCATGGGACGCTTGTCACACTTAAGGTGGCGCGGCTTTTTCCCCACCCTCCACCCCCACACTATGTCTCCAGAACCTTAAATACTCAGCTGAGAGATTCAACGACACGTAAAAGCCTGCATGGAGCGTCAGCGGCCAGAGAAAATTATGTCACATCAGCCAGCTTCCTCGGCGCTGACCAGCCGGAATGCAGACAGTATGAACGAGACCGATTCGACACAAGCGTTTCCAAGAAACCGTTTTACGTAACAGAGGCGCTGTCAATTAAAAATTCGAAACAGCTGCCGTACTTTTCTAGTTGAAAGAACACTCACTAAACAACGCATTTACGCCTATTCAACTCAAAATAGGCCTAAATAGGTCTTCTATGCTTCACATATTTGCCGGTAAATGAAAGCAATTTTGAATAAGAAGGAAAACCATTTCGCCTTAAAAGCATTTTAAAAAATCCGTCTAGTTCTTATCTCAGCGAGCGCGATTGCAAACAGCGACGTTATGTTACTATATTGGGACCAGACGGGAAAAGACGGACTGCGGACTCTTTTGTAGTAAACAAACCCTCCGTCAGCCCAGAAAAGGAGGAACCGATTGGTCAATTTTACAGCTGTTGACAGATCATTGACTGGACTGTGGTGGAGATGCAAGCGATAAAAATAGCCACGCGTCACAACTAACAACGAACAATTACGAACCTGGCGGTAATCGCTTGTAAACTAAAACGTTAAAAGCTATCTTACGGAAGGAAACTACTGAAAATTTCCTCAAGGGAAAGAAATTCAACGTACGTAATCTTACCGGATTTTAAAAAAAGTAAAATTTTTCAGTTGTTATGTTCTATTTTTAAATCGTTTCAAGTTACTCGGGTCTCTTATTTCTCCTTCTCGGGCTTTCGCCCTCGTTTATCACGGCTTCGCCGCTCGCGTGCAGTAACTTTGCAAAGAGAAATAAGAGACTTCTCGCAGTCTAAATGTTTGACCAATCAAGCCTTTTGTGTCCAGTTGTTTAACAAAATTAGCCTATAACCGATAAGTCTGATTGAGACTTTTAAACTAAAGCGACACGCAATAAATCATCTGGCAGGTTTAACCATGACCGAGCAGTTCTGTACTGCAAAGCTACATGAATTTGAGCAATTCGTTCTCCAAAAGAGAGATTCTATGCTGCCCTTTTGTGTTTTACACCTGGCGTTTTCAGTTGTGGCCACTCTTGGAAATCTTTTAGTGATCCGGGCCTTGTTTAATGCCTCATCGATACCAGCCACCGTCAATAAGCTGTTTTTAAGTCTGGCTTTCTCTGATCTTGCCGTGGGGTTGTTTCCGCAACTCATGTCCGGGGTTATCAGCGCCGTCGTATTGAAAATGGCATTAAGTGAAGAAAACACCTTTACCTCATTTTGCCCAACGGTTCTAACAGTGTATTATTATCTTTTGTTTCTTCTCGGCGCTGCATCTTTCCTAACTGTTACTGCTATAGCAATAGATAGACTTCTCGCTGTTTCGCTCCATCTGCGATATCAGGAGCTTGTCACTTCCAAACGTGTCATCACTATATTGGTGTTTCTTTGGTTGACGAGTTGCATCACTGCCTTCATATACGTTTTCCTGCCCAAAGGCAGTGAAACGGTATCTGGTGTTATTTCATTTGCAGGACATATTTTGACAACAGTGGCTTACGTTCGCGTTTACAAAATTGCAAAATCTCATCAGAATCAGATCAACAGTCAAAATCAACTGCAAATTGCCGAAACAGTGGAGGTAATCCGACAAAAGAAGTCTGCCTACAATACTTTATTTTTCTATGCAGTTTATTTAGCTTGTTATCTTCCATATCTGCCCTCCGCAATATTGTACTTGCTAAAGAGATCGAATATCTCCTTTTTCGTACCAAAATGGGCCTCAATATTCTTGCTGATTCTGAATTCGTCGTTAAATCCTTACGTATACTGCTGGCGATATCGAGAGATCCGGGAAATTGTGAAGAGCACAATAAAGAAACTATTTCGCATGAAATAAAAAAAGGAAATTAGTTTGACCGTTTTAAAGTCCTATGAAACGCCAAGTATTACGTTACACACTTGTTTACAAAAACAAAAGGTTGTATGATAGTAAAAAGTACAAAGAAAAATCTCTCAGAACTTGAAAATGGTCTTTTTGATGGAGAAAACAGAGTGATCGAATAAACAGTGACAATGGTTTCAATTTTCATGGTTTCGTGAGAAAGGTTAGATGCAACTATTTGATGAAGTGACCAATCAACTGCAAGACTTTCGGCGCCACAAGCGCTAAAACTGAGGTGCTACTGGCCGGAGCTACTGCTCATTGGCGATTTCAATACCAGAGTTGGATCTGATCACCAAGCCTGGCCCTCTTGTCTAGGACATCACGGCTCCGGAAAAATGAACAAAATGGACTAAGACTTTTGGAACTCTGCTCCTTGCGCAATCTGTGCATAACCTACACCTTCTTTGAAGTTAAGCCGCAACATTGTGTTTCATGGAAACCTCCTCGGTCCCACAGATGGCATCAGCTTGATCTACTTATCACCAGACCACGCAGTCTGCTCAACGTTCTCTCCACTCGCAGTTACCACAGCGCCGACTGCAGTACTGATCATGTCCTGGTATGCAACTCCACCGCGCAAAGAAACCAGGCCATCCCGGCTTAAACACTGCAAGCACTTCTGACTCAGCGTCAGCGCAAATTCCTCAGCAAGGTACAGGAAGCCCTCGAGGACCCCCAGGGTCAGGATGCCACCTCCAGGTGGGACCTCTGGAGGGAGGCCATCCACTCTTCGGCCATGTCGGCTCTCGGCGGAATGGACAGGCCTAGTCACAGCCTACCGATCATGGAGCCCCTTATTGAGCTAAACAGCAAGCCCACTTGAAATACAAAAAGAACCCATGTGAGAAAATGCTGACAGCACTCCCCGCTGCACGCAGTTTAACTCAGAGCACTGCCAGACGTTGTGCCAATGACTATTGGTTTAAAATTTGAAACGAAATACAGCTAACCACTGTCTTGGGCAATATTAGAGGCATGTAAGACGGCATCAAGAAAGCTTTGGGTCCATTACAGACCCCAAAGAACAAATGGACAGATTGGTGGAACACTACTCTGAGCTATCTCTGCGTGAGACAGTTGTCAACTACGCTGCCCTCAATTGAATCACCTTTCTCCCAGTCATGGACGAGCTTGATGCTGAGCCGACCATTCAAGAGTTTGTACTAGAATACCCTCAAATAAAAGCCGAAAACTGAACACATCTAATGGACAGAGCGGTAATAATAACTTGATGAAAAGAGACCATATTCTATTGCGGTGGGGGTTTAATATTTTTTCCATCTATCCCCGTGTTTAATTGTTTTGCTTGTCGCAAAACCTTCCCCTAACTCCTGGGTTTGTCTGCAAATGATTTAGTTTCACAACCCTAAAAATTATTGTACCAACAATAAACATTCCTGGTTGAATTCTTCTCTTTAAACACTAAGTCTACGGCTTAGCAAGTTAACCAACTATCGACATTAGGGAGTTTAAGATACCACGACGACGACGGCCACGAAAACGTTGCTTGAAAAGTGAATTCAGTTCG